CCGAGGACTGGTGGAGCTACAAGGATAATCTCCAGGGAAACTTCGTGCCAGGTGCAGCCCGGTGGGGACCCAGGAGCCCAGGCCACAGGGGGCTCTTGCTCAGACCCAGGGACCTTTCCTCCACCCCACCCCAGGGCCCAGGAGTCCCAGGCCCTTCCTCCCTCCCTTAGGGGAGTTGGGCCCAGCCTCTGAACCCCAGCGGCTCACCACGGGACATTATACATGCGCATTTCAAGTAGTGAGTGGGAGTGAGTGGAAGGAAAGTGTGTGGGGGTGGAAGATCAGCTTGTGTGTGCCTTTGTAGGGAAATAGCAGGTAGGTGCTGGGCTCCTGCTGAGAAACAGAGGCTCAGTGACCCCGCCCCCCAATTTCTCCAGCATTCTGCAACTCCTCTCCTAAGCGGTTCATTATCCAGCTGTGGGACAAGGGAGACTGAGTGAACTACAACTCCCAAAGGCTCTGAGGCGAGCAGGCAGTGGATGGGGAGGCTGGCAGCCCTGGGGCCTGCTGGGACTTGTAGTTCCTTTTCCAATGACTTGGGTCTGATCAAAGAGCCGCTTGGAGGTGTTAGAGGGTCTTAGAAAATTCCTCCAAGATTCTCCTGGGGCCCTGAACTTTGGATCCAAGCCCCCTCCTCACTCAGACCCCAGGTCCAGATGCCAAGCCCTTCCTCTTCTGAGATCTCGAGTGCAGACCACCACCTCCTTAGCAGGTCCCAGCATTGGGATGAAGTTCTGTTTCTGACACCCTTTCATCCTTGCCACACTCCTGCCCTCAGGGCCGCCCTTCTGGGGCCTGGTGAATGCAGCCTGGAGTTTGTGTGCCGTGGGGAAGCGGCAGAGCCCCGTGGATGTGGAGCTGAAGAGGGTCCTTTATGACCCCTTCCTGCCCCCATTGAGGCTCAGCACTGGGGGAGAGAAGGTAAGGGGCTTGTCGGGATTTAGGGATGCCGAAACCACTGGGGATGGGCATGAGTGGGGGTTGGGAGTGGGGTGCTGAGGTGGGAGGAGGGTATGCACCAGGATGGAGAATGGCTCCTTACACTTTACAATGGATCACCTGCTCTTCCCAATATGGCTCCCTAGTGTTCCCATCTTCGTAGAAGCAAAAATCAAACAGATCATTTTCCCTTGCCAGGCATTTTTTAAAAGTCTGATAAAACCTCTATCCTTACAGCAATCCCTTGAAATAGGCACTATTATTATTTTATGGATGTAGAAACCTAGGCACAGAAAGGTTAAATTATTTGCTGAGGCCACAGCTAGCGAGTGCCAGCACTGGGATCCAAACCTAGCAGCGTGGTACCACAATCCTGGCTCCGGCCCACTGGCAAAGCCAAAAGCCATGTTTTGTAAGAGCCCCCGCCACTCTGCAGCTTCCCCAGCCCGAAGCCATAGAACTCTACGTTGTCCAGTGCTTTCCCTCACTCCCATTTCCAGTCCATGTCCTTTCTATTCTCCCTGCTAAATCCCATTCCAATCTTTTTAACTGTCCCTCTTGGACTTCGACTTGTTTCATGGCCTCCTCACTGGTCTGCCTCTCCCCTCTTGCAATCCATTCACCACTTCAGAGAAGTATTTAACAACACAAACCAGATCACACCATTCCCCTGCTCAAAATGTTTCTGTTAGGTTAAATAATAACAGCAAACATTAATGTAGTACTTGCCATCTGCATATACTTATACATTCACTTATTTAAGTAAAAATTTAAAAAATACCCCATCATTCCCCCACTAGATCCTGTACCATCAGGCTCCATCATCACTCCGTTTTTCACTGGGTGCTATTCCCACTGGCCTCCTCGCTGTCGCTAAAACAGACCATGTCAGGATCTTTGTGCTTTCTGTTACCTCTTGCCTCCTGGAATGCTCTTTGCAACTAACCCTGACTTATCCTTCAAGCCTCCATTCAAATGTCACTTCCTCATGGAAGCCTTTCTGAACTCCTCCCCATCCCAACATCTCACACCCCCAATCTAGGCCAGTTTTTCCATTACATTTTCTCAGAGCTGCCAGTTCTTCCCAGTCAGAGCTGGATGTTGTTAATTCAGCAGTTACTGATACGAGTTAGTATGTATTGCTTCCCTCATCAGAACATCAGCTCCATGGGGCCCAGGACTTCCGCCTACTTGTTCATTGCTCTCTTACTGCTTCCGTGGCATAGATTAACAGTTTAATAAATATGTGTTAATTAAATGAATTCACCAGTTTTGAGCACCTGCCACGGGCCAGCGCAGAGAGTGGAAGATGCTGGTGTCCAGACTCTGCAGGATGATGAAGCGATTGTTGGCAGTGTGAAATGTGGGAGTGGAAAACAGGAGGGAAGAAATCTTTCCATGCCCCAGTGACAACTTTCACCTCTCCCACAGCTCCGGGGAACCCTGTACAACACTGGTCGCCATGTCTCCTTCCTGCCTGCCTCGCGACCTGTGGTCAATGTGTCTGGGGGTCCCCTCCTTTATAGCCACCGACTCAGTGAACTGCGGCTGCTGTTTGGAGCACGTGATGGAGCTGGCTCTGAGCACCAGATCAACCACCAGGGTTTCTCTGCTGAGGTGGCCATGGACCTCTGACCCTTGACCCTAAGTCAACCCAAGTCTTCCTCCCTCACCCCACTCTTAAGACCTCACCCCATTGGTTCCATAGCACTGCCTGCCCCCACTCTGGAGGGGGGATCCCAAAAGCCCACTGACCTGACTTGGGACCCCAAAAGCCCATTCTCTCCTTCCCTTCTGCTGGCGGACCCCCCCCCCCATTTTTTGTGCTTCCCTCAGGTGCAGCTCATCCATTTCAACCAAGAACTCTACGGGAACTTCAGTGCTGCCTCCCGAGGCCCCAATGGCCTGGCTATTCTCAGCCTCTTTGTCAATGTGAGCCCAGCAAGATTCAGAGGGCAGGAGGTTCTGGGTACTGGGAACCTGGGGTCTGAGGAAGAGCAAGGCTGGGAGGCCCAGACTCCTGGGTCCTGAGAGGGAAGGAAAGGATTGGGGGCTTGAACTTGTGGGCTCCTGCTTCCTCATGTCATCCTCCAATACAGGTGGCTGGCAGCTCAAACCCGTTCCTCAGCCGCCTCCTTAACCGTGACACCATCACCCGCATCTCTTATAAGAGTAAGTTTCTGCTGTGTTGTCGGGGAGGGGTAAATGAGGCACCCCTCTTCACTCTGGCCTGGTATTCCCACAGATGATGCCTACTTTCTTCAAGACCTGAGCCTGGAGCTCCTGTTCCCTGAATCCTTTGGCTTCATCACCTATCAGGGCTCTCTCAGCACCCCACCCTGCTCAGAGACAGTCACCTGGATCCTCATTGACCGGGCCCTCAATGTCACTTCCCTCCAGGTGACCCCTGTCTGTCCCCACCTCCCAGCTTGGTCAGCAGGCCTGAGGACCACCTTGCCTCACCTACCCTCCTTTCCCCTACACTGAGGCCACTGGAGGAGCAAAGAAGGTCCCATCACCCTGGAAGGTGGGAGGGAGTTGAACAAATCTGGGCCCAGATGCGCCCAGGGACCATGTATTATTTATTCCCAGTTTTCCACTCCCCTTCCATGGCAGATGCACTCCCTGAGACTCCTGAGCCAGAATCCTCCATCCCAGATCTTCCACAGCCTCAGCGGGAATGGCCGGCCCCTGCAGCCCTTGGCTCACAGGGCCTTGAGGGGCAATAGGGACCCCCGGCACCCCGAGAGGCGCTGCCGAGGCCCCAACTACCGCCTGCATGGTATGGTCCAGTCGGAACCCCTTCCACGTCTTGGTCTAACCCGCCTGTGTGTCTCCCCTTGATGTCTCAATATGATACAGGCCGACCCCTCCCTACCCGACCTCACTCGGCTTCTGTGTGGTCCAGCCTCCTGGGTCCCCACTGGTTCTTTCTCCCTCATCCCTGTGTCAGCGTGGTACAGTCCACCTCCCCGCTGTAGACCATTGTTGGTCCTTGATTTGTCTTTCCTCTTCACTGCTTACAACTTTCAACTTGGTATATAAGCCGAACCCCGTTCTCGTTGCTATTATGATTTTGTGGTACGGTCCGTACCTTTCCATTGTTTCCATGGGCACAACCCTATGCTGTCACCCCCACCTTTTATTGAGAATCAACTTGGTACAACCTCCCTCCCAACCTACTGGCTCCAGTGATTCAGCTCAGTGATCACCTCTCCGGCTTCTCAACTTGGTACAGCCCAGGCATCACCCCCCAGCCCCCACCCCGCTGCCTCCCTGAATAGCTTCACGTGGTTCAGCCTGATGCTGTCACCCTGTTCCACCCTCCTGCGGCCTCTCTATGGTTCAGTCCAGGGCCAACCCGAATCCATTACTCCCTCCCCAGTTTTTCCTCCTAGTACCTGCCGGTTCCCCCTTCGCAGGCTCTCTGTGGTCGAGCCCTACACGGCCCAGCCCCCGCCCCCTGCACGCCCCCTGTGCACCCCCCGTGACGGTCCACCCTCTCGTGCCTACATAACAACCACACCCCTCCGCAACGGTGTCTTCTATCTTACAGTGGATGGTACCCCTCAAGGTCGCTGAGACTCCCCATCGAGGACTGCGCCTGCTCTTCCCAAGCCTACCCACAAGGGGAGGGGAGTCACCCCCCAAAACAAAGCTATTAAAGGGACAGAATACTTCCTGATTCTCAGTGGTCTGATTCTAGGCGCGGCGGGGAACATTAGGGCATTAAGGACAGCAGCTTTCTTCTGGAAACCAGTCTCCCACATCCCAAGCTGCACGACTCGGATATTTAGCTTCCTGTTGCTCAAAACACTCATTTTGGGTATGCGGCTCCTTTAAGCGGCATTTGCCCCCCGCCCGCGCGCCCATACCCACCCTCCGCGTCCGGCAGCACGCGCTGAGCCATGTGCTTCCCCCTCCCGCCTGCCTCATTGGCCCGAACTGGGTCACTGTCCCGCCCCCAGCACCTTCTCCCATTGGGCAAATGTAGGTCAGGGTCCCGCCTCTCTCCGAAAGACTAGGCAACTTCTCGCAGAGCCCCTCACGCGCCCTCCCGGGCTTTGGCGGATCCGAGGGGCCCATTGGCTATGGGTCTCGAGGGGTCGAGACGCGATTGGCCGGCGCTTTCAACCTAGGCACGCGGTTGGGGTGCAGGGTCCTAGAGGCGGGCGGGGCTGGGTGAGTGCGGGAGGGGATCGAGAGGAGGGGTGCGCGCTGTGGCGTCGGGTGTTTTGGTTTGGCTTTTTTTTCCGCGAAAGAAGTTTGCTTTGGCCACGCCTCAAGGCGGCCGCCTCCTCCTGCCCCCTCCCCCGCCCCTTTGAGCACACCTCTTGGTGCAGATTGCAAAGCGCCTTCGGTGGAGAGAGCTGCAGATTTTGCATGAGCCAGGCTCGCCCACCTGGTAGATGAAGCGCCTAATAGTCCCTGAACCTTCGTTGCAAAGAACCGATCGCCTGGTTTGATCACCGCCTCCCCCAAGACTGCATGATCTACGGGGACCCTCTTAAGTTGCACGTTTCTGCACCGAGGACTCCAAATCGCTCCTAGGACTGGCAGTGTGCTGTTACTGGAGGTTTGCAAGATCCGCTCGCCGGGCTCTGGGCAAACATTCGCCAGAACCACAGAAGTGTGCCGCTGACCGACCGGCCAGCTCTTCGCTGCTCCATGTACCCGTGAGCCGGCGGGCAGGTGCCCGACCATGGCGCGGCCCGTGAGCGACAGGACCCCGGCCCCCCTGCTGCTGGGCGGCCCGGCCGGGGCCCCTCCCGGAGGAGGGGCGCTGCTTGGGCTGCGGAGCCTGCTGCAGGGGACTAGCAAGCCCAAAGAGCCTGCCAGCTGTGAGTTCTAACCCCCACCTTCCCCAGCTCAGATACCCCTACTCCCTTAGGGATTCAAGTACTAGGGGGGAGAAAGGGATGTCCACAGCGCCCTCCTACGTGCCGAGAGTTCAATTGCCCAAGCTTTATATACCCCCATTACTCGGGTGTGTAGGCCTTTAGCACCCCCCCACCTCCCCGCCTCCCAGCACCCCACATGACTTGGTTTTCAAGCCCGTTTACCCCAAGGTCCCAGGAATTCAGGTTCCCTCTTCCTCCTTCCTCAGGACCCCCTAGCCCCGGCACCCGCCCCCTCTTCCTCGGTTCCATCAGTCTGGACCCCTGATGTCCAGGGAGGAGGGAGGGGGCGTGTCGGATGCTCACACGGTGGTGACACGGGCCTAGGCGGGGCCTCCTGGGGTCACATGGCGTCGAGGGATGAGGAATGTGCCCCAGGAATAGAGCCCCTTCCTGTCCCTTACTGAATGTGGGGGCGGGGAAAGGGGGTACAGTGCGCAGGGAGTGTGTGGGGGGGTAGGTTACAGAGGAATTACAGAGCTGTCATTTTTTCTCTCACCTGTCCAACCCTCCACCTCCCCTGTGTCTGAACTTCCGTCTCCCCTCCGTGTCAATGTCCCTTCCCGGGTCTCTGTTCCCCTCTCTCACGGCATCTGCCCTCCTCTCTCTGCATCTCTGTCCCCCCTTCTTTCTGAGTCGTTGTTCCTCTCTCGGTCTCTGCCGCCCCTGTCCCTTTACTTTCGCCTTGGTCCTCATTGGGTTTCTGTCCCTTCTCTCTGGGTCCTTGCCTGGCCTCTTTGGTCTCCTCCGATCTCTTGCCTTCTCTGGGTCTCCGCCCTGTGCTCTCCATCCTCCCTTGTCTGGCTCGGGGTCTTTTCTCCTGTCTATCTTCCTCTCCCTCTCCACTCTGCCCGGTCTTTCCCTGGCCCGCAGGTCTCCTGAAGGAAAAGGAGCGCAAGGCGGCTCCGCCCGCAGCCACGGTCTCCGGGCCGGGCCTGGAGACGGCGGGCCCCGCGGATGCCCC